CTACTTGATAAGTATACATAAAATATAGCAGTTTTTTAAGCTACTTATTTATATATATCTATTGTTTGGTCTGGTTTGTTTGATTATAGCAAAGCATTCGACGGTTATTTGCCTAAGGGTAAGGGTGCCTCGTGGAGAACTTTCTAAGCAAAACTGACTCTTATGCACGTTACACGTGGGGAAAACCTCGAAAACGCCAATACAGCCATCCCCGTCGATCCGGATTCGAACCCCGGATCGACCTGCCAGAGTTCAACGACTTTACAGCTCAGCCGCTAGTGAGCCCACACACACACACATCCACACATATACATTAAATAGTATTTACATGTCGTTTATAAAGTATAATTGAGTGCAATTTAATCATAAAGAGTTAGAAAATATTCTACGGAATTACTTCACTTCGTAGACTTTTTGTTAAGCTTCACCATATTTCTTAAAGAGAATCTCAATGCTAGTTCCATTTCCAAGCTGTTTATGTACCTTATTTTTCATGCTTTGAATTATATTTAGAAAATTATTTCACTTGGTTATAGCTGAAAATGCAGTTTTTTTATTGAAGAATTTAAGGGTAAGAAGAGAATTATGCCCTTTTCTAATTATTCTTGAATTTTAATTTTTGAAGCATTTAAATTTAAAAAAAAGCGCACATTAATACGGATCACTGAACTAAAGTGCTCGATACAGGACAGATTAATTAGCTACTAAATTTTGATTTTCGTTGAGTAAAAATGAATTCATCTGCATTCTATAAGAAAGTAAATATTCAAAAAATGTTTTTTTTCCTATTCTCGCAGTCATAATATTTTTCTTAAATATTCAGCTAATTCATATTCAAATATTCCAATCCATTACAATTAAGTAATAAATCGATACAGTAAATAAATAATTAAAATCAATTAAATGGAATTTTAATTGATTTTAATTGCCATTTTCCCTCTGATAAACCCCTCTTTAGAGTTCAATAGCAGTCGATCAGCTTTTGTTGGGGTTCATTTTTCTTTATGGTATGCTTACGTTACATATGTATATATTATGCATTGCTCATACTCGTCAACTGCAGCTTTTAATATCTTTTGGAAAAAAATCACTGGAAAAAACTATTATTACTAGGCACTGTCATGCCACAGTGTTTAAAAAAAAAATCCCATTGTTTAAAGGTAGATTCTATGCTCATATCCTAGTCTAAAATTAAAAGCTGCGAGTCAAAATTAAGGGGGTTGCTCTTAGAAAGCCTCAATTAGAAGTAGTTATATGAAATGTTAATCAATACTTATAATCTTACGGATTAAACACTTATTCCCTATTTGATCACGTGTATGGCAAACAGATATTCGTCATTCATAAAGAAAAGAAAGGTGAATCAAAATGAGTTTTCAAGCCCAATGCATACATTAGCAATACTTATTCTCGTAATAACAGATACGTATGTGTTATTCTCTTCGTAATTTTCAGTACATATATTTGTATTTATAATTAAGAAATGAAAGCAGCGTCAAACAGCTGTGAAAATTATATTTTAAATATAAATGCGCTTATAATGGTTTTTATATTTACGAAAGATACTTCCCGTTTACTCAGGCTCACTGTATTCAAGTCGATAGGACCAATTGAATGGAAAGATCGATTTGTTAATTCATTTCCAAGTTTCAAATCGGATGAATGGACTCGCGAATAAAATGGCACATTAAAATACGGTCACTGAACTACAGTGAGCTATGAAAATTTTAACAAAGGTTTCGTACTTTATCTTATGAAAACAAAATATCAGAATCTAATTAAATGTTTCACTTATTAGAAAAATAGAAAATATAAATATTTGTGAATAAAAAGAAATTATCTTTAAAAAAAATAAAATTTAAATGAAAAAAATAAAAGAATTACAAAATATTGCAGAAATTACATAAAATAGCGAATAAACTTATTCGGCACAAGCTCGCTAAATGTAAAACAGATTGTACAGTCAGAAAGCTCGCCTTGTCACACAAATGTACTGTTCATCGGGTTTAAAGGTTATTCAGACTAATGTGCGAAGTTCAGTGAGTAACTTGTATTTTCCTTTGAATGTATAAACTAGCCAAAAAAATTGAGCACTTGACAATTAGATGCAAATTTAACAGATGGGATTAAGGAACCCTACTGCAACGTACCACTTTGTGTAAGCATTTTCGTGGATTTCCTTAAGGTATGTAAATATGAGCCCATTTTCCTTAGAAAATTCTCCATGAAATCATGCCTAGCCAACCCTCATATGTTTTGCCATATTCAACACAAAATCATTCTTAAGATGATTAATTAATTTTATGTTAGGTGATACGAAGCTTTTCAAAAACTAGGATGCTTTCCGTAAACAATTAGTATTAATAAGCGCTGTCCAACTGGAATTGGGTTGGGTAATTTGTCTCCATTCTGATACCATGTGCATCATTTATTTCTGATATATTGATACTGAATGAGACCTAAAAACACTTTCTTTTTTAAATATATCTCCCCTTATGATCCCTGACACAGCCGTTTACTTTCCCCTTCCGTAATTAACGTCAGTCTCCTGCTCTTGACCGCATTTGCCAAGCCACCGTCGTAGCTGGGGTTTTCAGCGCCCAGGGACAACTGAAGATTTCGCGCCCCCTAATTGCCAAGGATGAACATTTGTCTAAAATGTCGTAACATCAGTTTTGCGCCCCTTGGATTCTGCGCCCGGGGACAGATGCCCCCCTTGCTCCCCTCTAGCTACGCCCCTGAATTCTAGGCGTATGGCCGGTAAAGCGACGATCAGTTCCGGTAATGATTCAAAGAATCGATTCAGTTCCCTGAATTAATGAATAGTTGATTCCAGAAAACCGAGTTGTAGCTCGTTTACAGTTCACGGAGAGTCCTTGTTAGAGGCGTGCCAAGAATAGAGATATGCTTTCTTTAACGAACTGATTCACTTTGCTAAGCCAGTTCATTTTAATTAGTTCGCTTTAGTGAGGTAATTACCGAACTGCTTCACTTTACCGAACATCGAAATTGCCCAAAATAAGCAGAGCACTGTCAGAGTTTTGCCGAGAGCTCTTGTTGGAAACGTGCCAGGAAAATTCGATTTCCATTTTAAAGGAGAAAAGAGCGTTTATTCTCCCATGTTAAAAGTGAGTTTAATTTCTATCATTTCCCAAATTTTTAAAATATTTTTATTCTAGAATTTTATTATTAGTTCTATATAAGAATTAAGTTATAGGGAATCTCAAAACTACATTTGAGAGAAATAGGTTCTTGGAGTTAAACATCTGAAAGAGTCAATTATTTCGATCCCACTGCTCGTTCGATTCATTTCGCTCTACTATCCAATCTAGCTATAACCGTTCCCGGACCCACTGCTCGTTCGATTCTGCCCGCTCTTTGCTCCGTTCTCACTAATCGGTCTTGATTTACCCCTCATCCTTGATGTTTTTCATTAAGGTTGTTATTAGTGAGCGGTGAGTCATGAAAAAGAACCGATTCAATTTAGTGAGCAAACGGTTCTTATCCCATAAAACAATGAGTTTTGTCCATGTCTAATTGCTTGTTGAAATATTTCACAATTTAGACTAATCTACGAAAGATTTTTTTATGAAACGCAGAAGACCGAATACTGATTGTTTATTAAATAAAAAGGAATCATTTCTTTATTCCTTCAGAATTCCACAGAAACGGCTGAGCGCCAACTTTGGCGGGATCTTTTCCACCTTTAGAGGTTCGAGACAGGTAGCTTTTAACTCTACAGAATAATACATAAATACCGAAAATAAAAGTTTTTATTTTTGGCTTATTACGTGCTCCGCCCTTAGGCACTATACGGAAAGGGAGGGATGCTCCGTGGAGGTCTTTTTAAGGAAAACTGTCTCGTATCCACGTTACACATGGGGAAACCCACGAAAACGCCCACGCAGCCAGCCTGTTCGCCGGGACTCGAACCCCGAACCGAACTACCAGTGTTCAACGGCTTTTACCGCTCGGCCGCTGGTGGGCCAAAATAACAGTTTAAAGCATTAAAAATAGACTCAGGTATCAAATATAAAAAAGTGCTGAACATTTGTATGATGCTTATATATGTTATGACGTGACTGATATTCCCAAATCCTTTGTGCTTTTGTTTATTTACTGCTTCTCTTCCCGATGAGTGGAGGCAGGTTTATCATTGTTTAGTTTTAGCCTTTATTTCGTAGTGGAAAATTACGTCGGGACAAGTTTCAGCTAATTCTTGTATACACAAAAAGCTGATGTAATGGAATAATGAAATTCTAATTACTTCCTTCCAAAAATTACAATAGCAAAATTCTTTCAAAAATTTCACGATTTTAGTCGAAAATGAGGAAATTTCCCTAGAAAAGGAGTTTTTAGATGAGTGTGGTACTTGCGTATTAATGCAGAAGGACTGGCTAACTTCGGCAGTAATTTGATGCAATTAATTTTTCTTTATTTCGTGAGAAATATATTTGGTAATCCCTTCTAAAAAGCTTTCAAATGTTTTTTTACACTGAATTACAAATTTATAACGCCACATGAACTCAACTAAGTACGGCTTCAAATGCGTTTTTCTGTACCCTTATGTTTCTTGCTTCACCATTTTGAAAAACCTCATACCCGCTCGATATTTTGTTTATTAACTCCGAAATATGCAAACTGTCATACTGTCGATTACTTTGAGACATATTATACTCTTGTAAGAAACTAACAGCATCACCTTCATTGTTTGGTAGATCCCACAGAACACGTGAATGAACTATACACTGCCCCCCAAGAAAAATTCCTTTCTGAAATTGCGGTTTATAGGCGTTCAAAACACTTAGCGACGTCAATACGATTGCTACAGGCTTTAATCTGTGCTACGGTACTAAGCAGCCAAAATTCTCCCTTTTGTTTTGGCGAATTTTGGCTTTTTCTTCTTTAGTACATTAAGTATAATGAATGTTATTGCTATGAACTTCTGAATCGAAAAACATAACATTAACTTAATCTGGAAACATTTTCTACATCTCTAGGAACTGTATGGAAGCTCACGATGCAAGACTGCGTCCAGTCCTTGAAGAGAGTAACAGCAACCTAGCCAGCTCTTTTGCTTCCAGTTCGTCAGCTTCCACTTCACCTACAGTAGCTCCTCCTTATCCCCATATGGGAAGAGATTGGTAAAAACCTTTACTATTTTCAAATAAAATTAACCGCAATATATTCAGTGTTCCCACCGACCGGAAGTTGGCAAAAGGGAGTAACTGGATTGATATTCAATTTGGCCACTGTTAGTTCTATCGTTATCCATTTGTAAATACGTCTCTTTCCCAAAATTCCACACATAATTTGGACCATAATAGAATTTATAAAAAATGTTGGTACTAACGTATTAACGCAACCACTTTGATCCAATCTGGATAATTTTCACTAATGAAAATATAAAAGTTACTTATCGGATGCAAGTAGATGGTTTTCGGGAAAGGGTTTTAGAAAGATTCCTAAACTACCGAGATTTATCCTAAATCAGCAGACCTTGATCGACATATGAAAACAAGACATGCTTTAGCAATTTAAAATGCAAAAGAAAACATGCTTTAGCTATTTAAAATACAAATTTTATTTATAAATAAGGATTACATGATACATTAACAAATAAAACACTTCCATTCTTCAACAAATTTTCCTGTACATTTTTTTTGCGCTATTCTACTCTCCAACTATAAAGCGATCAGTTTACTCTTAAAAAACATTAGAGAATTGCACACCGGCTATCTACCAAATGTACCTTCTCGTCGTTCTCTTTAGAAATTTTGTGACAGAATTTTGTATTCTTACAGAAAATTTTCCGCAGTTTCTTCCATTGTTGGCAAACTCCACAAGTGTATATTTTAAAATTATATTTAAAATAAAAATATTACAATTTCTTTATTAAAACTATTGGAGCTTGGGATATAATAAAAAGAGTGCAAACGGAAAATGGCGACGTTGCTTGACTAAACGACTGTTATGAGCAAGGTTGCTTGACGAATGGCTATGCGCTTGGTGCAAGAGTGGCGCATTCTGAGATTGTGGAGACTTATACTAAGGTGGTCATTACAGGTAAGTTACTTATGTTATTTCTTCAAAAAAGAGTCATACTTTTCATATTTTCAATAAAAATACAGAATATTTCTGTTGACCGGTCTGGGTATTCAGCGACAAACATAAAAGTTCGCACGAAATTTAACTAGATGGCGGCAATCCTAACTAGGCTTTAAGAAGTTGTCAACAAATAAAAGATATTTAAAAAACGTTTTGGTAAAATCTATCTCATTATCCACCCAAGACTTTACAAAAGTAACCAGGAAAAGGGCTATGTCGCCAAAGTAAGCAATCCAGAATTTTACAAAAAATGTATATATCTGGAAAACCACTAATAGTTCGTATTGCCACTGTGCGCTTATTAATGAAAAATAAAGCGCTTCACGTTTTTCAGAAAATAGGGAGTTTTACTTACTATTTGCATTCTGTGAAATTAATTTGTGCAAGTTTCTTAGAGTTTTTAAAGTTAAAACAGGATGATATATAAGTGGAGAGCAGGGTCAGTTTGTTCTGGAATTCTTTGATGTTTATTAAAGTTTAAACAGATCACTGTGCACATGAACAAAAAGACCAAGAAAACATAACATTAGAATTATTCAGAATAGAAAATCTATAGTTGCATGAAAAATTAAGACCTCATCCACAAATTGAATTACGCACAAAATAAACGGTAAAATTATCATTCTAAAAGCAACGAATAAATATATATTAATAAAATAATACAATATGTTATAACAATGAGCAAAAATAACAACTTGACCAAATAAATTTAAATATTTACCGAAATTTACAACGATATATCCACTGAGTTAAAAAAATTCTGAATATAATTTTGAAAAATTGTTTCACCACATTGCATTGTCATCCACAAATAGTCAACGTACAAAATTTCAACTCGATAATTTATCGGGAAGTAAGTTAAAAATATATGACAAAATTCCAACCATAGAGAAACACCATAAATGAGCTAAATAAAAACTTATAAAACAAAGGTGAATTGAAGGAAATTTTGAATTCAAGTGAACATTTTATTAATAGGTTATTTATATTTATTTCTAATGAAAAGTTACTTAAAAATTCTTTGTTATTTTTAATGGCATCAAGGAAATTATTGCAGTTTAGTTCGCTGTTAATTTTCCAGTTCAGTAACTATTTTACATTTGATTCAGCCATTCTACCTCTTCAGATCATATGATATTCATGACTGAGAAAACTCTTACGAGTGGTACCGATGTGCCTGGTATGCCGAATATGTATTCTTATATTTGAACAAGTTTAGGAAAAAAAATATGTCTAATATTCTGTTAATGACCAACACTGTTTGTTTTTCTTTGAAATGACAAAAAAGTTGTTTCCATTTTTCTTCACAATCTTTTATTTTTCAAATTTTATAATTAGCTGACCACAAACCGCTTGAAATCATCACTGCGTTAAAAAGTTGATCCATGTTTATTGCATTACTCGCAACAGTTTCATTAATTTTTTTAACCTGAAGAATAAGTTTTAGATCATATTAGTTCACTGCTGTTTGTCTAAATTAACCATTTTGTCCCAATTTGTGAAACAGTTTTTCCATATTTCCATAATTTTCCATGAGTGACATTAAATGGTTTGTCAGTGTTTGTGCAGTTTTATTAAAAATTAATCGAAAATCTGAAAGTTTAGCGCAGCAATCTATAACAAATATCACACAGCAATTGTCACAGTTTTAATTTTTTTTTTGTCTTAGAAGATTGTGTTGATGCGGTTACAAAGTTTGTTTTATTTAAATCTTCGCAAAACTACTGCAACAACAATCACTTAATCATATTGTTGCGTGCGTACGGGTTCGTAATAGATTGAATGCACACAGATCCGATGATAGGTTGATAAAATTTATTTTGTCAAAGGAAACACTTCAGAGTTGTGGAACTTTCCACAGAAATACTCGTACAGATATTCACAATATCACAGGGTACAATCAGTAGTTACACTTCAAACTACTAAGAATATTAAATACAATAAAATGCAAAGCGCATGTAAAAGGTGAAGCTTTCACGGATATCCCAATACTCCGAAATCGCTCTGAATTAACAACTCACAATTAAGAAACTGATGCTCTCTCCAGTCTTATCATTTTACCCAACCACCCAAATATTTCTGGTAATTTCTGCTTCTCGAAATTACCGAAAGGCATAAGAAGGTCAAATACGGCCATCAAATTAGAGTTATTCCATGACAATATCCATTACAGTTATACAGGGAGCGGAACCATATATCTCTAGATGGCAGTCAAGTTTGGCGACTTCTCGGAGAATTTGGCGACAAAATTAGTCACCAAAACCGTTACCAGCTTGGCAGTAGCTTGCCAAAATAACGAGATAGCCGTTTACTTCAATGTTAAATGGACTTACCCCTGTACTCCTATTTTTCCGCACTCTCATTTTTTCATGTTACATTATACAGAAAACTAAAATGATTTCACATATAATTTTACTAAAATTATGCATCTGGATTCCTATCTACAAAATTTGTGGCTATCCTCTACGTAACTATCCTCTATATACAATCCTCTGCGTACAAAATCCGTAACAACATGACAATGACAACTATGACGTATATCAATGGCAGCTTCATATTTTGCTCTGGATAGTCTGACTTCGTTTCAAAGAACTTCGAAATCAGGTTAAATTAGCAATCGGCTGACTTAAAGACGAGATTGTGACTACATGAAATGCGAAAGTTGCTCCTTTAGATGCTATTAAGAAATCTTGTCACAAGTCGGTAGCTATGTCTCCTGTTTCGAAATAACCTACTGTATCTACAGTCGCAGTGGATGATAATTCTCCACCACTAGGACTCAGCGATTGGTACACCTAACCCCCATCGCCCTTTAAAAGGGAGAGTGTATAAGGTATTTCTCCCACCTTCTTAGCATGCCTTCGTGGTGTAATGGTCAGCACGTTCGACCCGTATCCGAGATGTCCGAGGTTCGAGTCCCGGCGAGGGCATTGTTCTTCTTCCATCTCTCCTGCCTCGAAATAACTTAATGTTTCTACAACAGTATCCAAGAAGTGAAAAAAAATCTAAATCTCATAGGTTACATGCTATTATAAATTCGGCGAAAAAACATCTGGTTGAAAAAAATTAAACATCTGAATACTTTAAGCCACATGCTATAATTTTGGTTAAAAAATTTAGACAATATTAAAAGTATTTAGATTTAGATTCAAAATATTTAGATTGGCGATAATGATTGTAACGAGAAGACTGTTTTTAATTGCTATATATCCATTTTATCCAAGAATTTTTACTTCTTGTAAATTTGGCACTTTTAAAATATTTCCAAATAACCGGGAAAAAATGACAAACTGACCGGATCAGAAGGACCACATCACCCGGACAGTCCCGGTCAAACCCGGACAGTCCCGGTCAAAGCGGGACGTCCGGTAAACCTAACTCTTGACGATACATAAAGCTTCTTCCAAAGAAAAATTGACTTATATAACTGTCTGTAATCTGCCTTAATGTGTTAATATGCTTAATGCCAAGCAAAACAGAACGAAACTGCTTTTCTTTCCAATTGCACAGCTGTCTCTTTTCAGTAAGAAAAACATCAGAGAATTGCAGAATTTCGGCATCGTGCACAGTTTCAGCACGCAACCATTAAACATTATATGTATAATATTACTGTATAGCTGTTCATGACCTGATATGAACCAGCTACCGCATTTGGCGACTGGCGTCTTATTAACAGAAAAGTACCTATACTAAAGCACGTTTTGTATTACTAATCTTGCTACAGAGTTATGGATATGAAAAATATTTTCAAATAATATAATACACTGAAGTGGTCATCTTAGAGAAGTAATGTTCAGTGTCGATGTTTATTTATGAAACATCTCATAAAACTGGTCACTTTCTGAGGTGGAAAAAAAAGAGAGGGGATGAAAAGTGTGTTAGCCAAGTATCTGTATTACTGATGATTTTTGTTTTCAGCATATCAGTTAAAAAAATGCTTTCATTTAAACTGCAATAATTAAAATTAGCAGTTTAACAATGAAATCATTTAGGAAAAGTACATGCAAACTACAGCAGTTCGTAATATTCATTTTTA